ACTGGAAACTTCCCAAAATTGCAAACTACCCAAGTCTCACATCTTCAGAATGGTACAGTAGAATTTCTAGTCAGAAGACCTAGATTTGAATTCTGGTTCATCTAGTTATGGTGTATTTGACCTTGAGAAAATCACCTGGGCCTCAGTTTTCTCTTCCATGAAATTAAGGAGTTGGGCTTGACCTTGGAGGTTCCTTCGAGCTCTAAATCTACAATCCTGTTAGGCTATAAGGACTGCATCCTCAGGACTCTACAGACTGATCCTGTTCTCCATAATCACTGCCCCCCCCTGCTGGCAGGGGGTGTCCAGATGCGAACTCTAGTCTCCTCAGTAAACGCCGCAGAAGCAGCCCTATGTCAGACATGGGGTTGGGGGTCAAATTGCTCATATTGAGCCTGTTGTATGTGGAGGCAGAACTGAGTAAAGGTGCTGAGTGTTTTGGATGCCATTTTGTGTGCTTGTGCTTTGGGAAGAAAGGGGTGTAGCAACTATGGTAAGACTCTGCTAGGGGTCCTTCCCACAGCTGAACCTTCACCCAGAGCTGTGAGGAATGCAGTTCAAACATTTTATTGCAGTGAAGCTTCTTTGGTGTCAAACCAACAGGACAAGCACATGGATGATACAGACTCAAAAAAATCAAAACATTGTCACACATGCTTTAGCTACGTGGTGTGGACTGTGGGATCCCCAGGGCTCAATTACAGAGGGTTACGTAGAGACGAGGATACCATGTCCACCTTTGGAAGTGCCAACACCCATGCCCACAACTGTATTCATAGCACAGAAACAGAGAAGTGACCCAAACAGCACCAAAATGACTAAAGTTTCCTCAGGGAGAAGGAGTAATAGAGATTGATCTGTATCTGTTCTTTTTAACTATATGTTGGTTTCTTTGGCTGGTTTTTCCTCTGCCCCCCTGCCACAGCTTTAGTTGGACGCTAAAGTAACTCCTTTAGTAACTCCTTAACAAGGAGTTAAGAGAGTGGCAAAAGAAGAAAGTTTAAGGTTCTTATGCCATAGAATGGGAAGAAAATGCCACTACTTAATCTGGGAACCAATGTCTTGTGGAGACATCCCCTCTTGCATGGTTTTTCTAACCAATACCCAAATTCCCAGCAAGTTAACCTCTACTTTAATGTTCCTTCCAGAAGGAATTAGAACCCAGGGACCACTGAAATTGTCCCTTTTCTCTCCCTTTGCTGAAGGAAAGATATAAGCCTTAAGAACTCTGATCATTGACCAATCATGACTTCAGAAAAATGATTTCATGTTTTCCACCTCTTGGCAAAGTGATTATAGACTAGAGTTGTATAATGAAAAATACATTTTTAGATATGGCCAATGTGTGAAATTTTCACTTGACAGTCTTTATTTGTAACAAAGAAAGGCTTCTTCTGTGGGATGGGAAAATGGTAGGTAGTGATAGTGATTAAAAAAAAAAAGAAAAAAAACATAAGAAAAATGCTGGCCCCCAGGCCATCCTCCTTTCCCAAGGAGTTTAGTATCTGGCTCACCATTTTCTTCTACATCTCCTATGCTAATACTAGGGGACATCAATTACATCTTGGTACTCCATTCGACACCCTAACCAATGAACCTCCTTCCCCTCAGCCACATACAGGGATGGTCACACCCTTGATCTCACCATGACCCACAAGTGTTCCACTTTGAGCAAAAATGAACATTCCTCCATAACCTTTCATTCCTTCTCTCCTTATACCTTACTTCTAATCCTATTCATTTTCATGACCTCCAATCCTCCCTTAATACCCTCTCAGGCTATTATCCCAGTTCTGACTTCACTTCTCTCCTTTTCCAATCTTGACCCTGTAGTTAACTAGTTCAATTCCACATTGTTCTCTAGTTTTTAGTCCCTTGCTCCCTTTCCCTGTTGCTGCTCATGTTTTGTCAAACCTCAATCCTGGATTATTTCCACCATTCACTGCTTTAGCTCTTCCTCATCAGCTGCTGAACAGAGCTAGAGGAAATCACACAATTGAGCTGCCTAGGTCTACTATAAATTTACCCAAACTCAACTTGGCCTTCATTGCAGCAATACTTTTATGATTCTCTAACTGATTATTTAGCTCCCCAGAGATGGTATGCTTTTCTTCTCTCCTCAAACTGCCCACACTTTTCTCCCCATCTGCAACTCTGCTGAAGGCTTCAACTTGTATTTTCCTGGGGTGGGGGGAGAGGCCATTTGCTGTAAGCTCTTCCCTTCCCTTCATCTCAGAATTCCGTGACAACCATCATTCCCCATTCTTTCCTCTTAGTCTGATAATGAAGTAGCTCTTCTCAATAATGCCAGTCATCTACATATACTTGATCTTGGAATTCCTTCATCTTATCCAGCAGACTGCCCCCTCAATCATCCCCTCTGTATAATCTTTAATCTCTCCCTCTCTACTGGTTTCTTTTTTCTATAATTTTTTTATACATATATATACCCATATCTCACTTATCCTTAAGAAATCTTTACTAAACCCTACTTTCACCTCAAATTACCATACTATATATCTCTCTACCCTTTTTAGCCAAACTCTATACTCAATTGCTTCCACCTCCTCGCAAATCTCATGAAATCCGACTTTCAACTTATCACGACTAAAACTGCTCTTTTCAAAGATACTAAAGGTGTCTTAAGTGCCAGTTCTAATGGCCTTTTCTCAATCTTCATCCTACACCTATCTCTCTAGCATTTGATACTATTAACCCTCTCCTAGATACTCTCCTCTCTGGGTTTTTGACACTATTTTCTTCTGGTTCTCTCTGACCACTTCTCAAACTCCTTCACTAATTCATCATATCACACTCCTTTCCTCCCACAATTGTGGTTTAATGGGAATAGAAAAGGAAAAAAAAATTTTTTTTTTCACTTCATCTGAGCAGCTCTAATTCTTGAGAGGCTGGAATGGAACCAGTCCTAGGGAACTACAGTCCTAGGGAACTAAGCTTGGCTGCAATAGGCACCTGGGAAACTTGTTGCAAAGACTAGTCTACCGGTAAGTGTTACCTCCCACAGAAAGCACTCCTCTCTAGTCTTCTTCATGGTTCCCCATATATCTTTTCTCAGAAGGGGAGCTTTTTGTTGTTCAGTCATGTCTGATTTTGTGGCCCCATTTGGGGTCTTCTTGGTTGATTTTCTTTTTCTTTTTTTTCTGGCTAGGTAATGGGGTTAAGTGACTTGCCCAAAGTCCCACAGCTAGTAAGTGTTAAGTATCTGAGGCCGAATTTGAACTCAGGTCCTCCTGACTCCAGGGCCGGTGCTCTATCCCCTGCGCCACCTAGCTGCCCCTTTGGGGTTTTCTTGGCAAAGATACCAGAGTGGTTTGCCATTTCCTTCTCCAGCCCATTTTACAGATGAAGAATTGAGGCCAACAGGGTTAAGTGATTTGCCCAAGGTCACACAGCTAGTGTCTAAGCCCACATTTGAACTCAGGAAGGCGGTGTTCTAATCCACTGGGCCACCCAGCTGCCCAGGAGAGCTTTACTTGGGGTGAGAAAAGGGGGATCTTAGAACAAGATGACAGGGTTCTTTCTTTCACTATTGTGACTCAGCTTCCCATTGCAAAGCTCTACCTCGAAGAAACCCAAAAGCCTGCAGTGGTCTCTGAAGGGGAGGGCCAAGAGGCCCAGGAAAAGTCACTGGATGTGGAGTCTGAAAGGTCTGCAGGCGTTCAAACTGCCTAGCAGTGTGACACCTAGGGCAGGTCTCCTCCCCTCTCTGGACCTTGGTTTCCTCGTCTACAAAATGGGGCTAAGGTTAACTCCCCCAGTACCCCAGGACGCATCCTTTCCCGAGCCTGGCCTCATCTGGGCCTGAGTTCCACCGGATGGCCTCGGACCGGACCCATTTCAACCTGGGCCAAAACCTCCCCGGGCAGTTCCTGGCCATCACGAAGGGTACTTACGGGGCAGGGGGCGTGGCCTCGGGGCCCGGGCCGGACGGTTCCCCTGACCCATGCCACCGCCCAAGAGGGGCAAAGCCCGGGGGCTCCGGGGCGGGGCTTTCCCCCGAGCGGATGGGGCGGGCCTTGCACGGGAAGTGCTGCGCGGGTGAGCGGGAGCGGACTCCCGGAGAGGGGCCCTAACCGAGGTGAGTGGTTTGGTACCGCGTTCCTCCGCTTCTCGGGGAAGTGCCCCGCGCACGCGTACCCATGCGCATGACGTCATCACCATCGACCGTGAGTACGCGGAATGTCAGTTTACCTCTTGCTCCGCGGCTCCTCCGTTACTCTCTGCGGAGGTTTCGGCCCCGGCCCAGGCTGAAAGCTCCAGAGGCAGCGGCCGGGCTGCGGGCTGTTAGGGTCCGAATCCCGCCCCTGCCTCTGGCTCGCTGTGTGACCTCGGGAAAATCTCTCAACCTCACTGGGCCTCAGTTTCCCCATCTGTAAAACAAAGAGGGTCGATTTCGTGAAGTCTGAGGTTCTATCAGCCCTAAAATCCAGTTCCATTCTGAGGGTCCTCCCAGCGCCTAAGGGGCTGATTCCCTCCTACCAGGAATGTGGAAGAAGGTGTCACTTTTAGGCCTGGTCCCCACTTAGTGCCAAGTGGGCTCCTTTTGGGCAGGGACTCTCACTTTCTCGTCACCCGGAGCCTAGCCGGGCCTCACGAGTGTTTACGGATTGGCCCCTTCCCGAGCAGCCCCTGGAAGGCACAGCTGTTCTCCCTGCCCTCAGGCTCCCAGAGGAGCCTCCTTTAGGGCATGTGAGGATGCCAAAAGAGGAGGGGTGGATTTCATGTTCGGGTTGGGGTGGTCAAGCAGGAGGGTGTACGGGTAGTGACACAGAAGGCAGCTTGGTTACCTAGGGAGAACACTGGATTTGGAGTCAGGCCTCAAGGCCAAATTCCAGCTCTCCAGCTTGCTAGCTGGACAAGTCATTCTCTGGGGTCTGTTTTCTCATCTATGACATGAAAGGGAGACCCATTCCAATCTTAAATCTATGCTCCCTGGACCCACTGTCCCCACAGGAGGCATGATTCTCTGGCGGGCATACCAGCAAGCACTGGCTGCTCACCCATGGAAGGTACAGGTTCTCACTTCTGGTGAGTATTTCCCTGGGATTGGGACTACAGTAGGTTGTGTCCTTGGGGAGGAAACTGTAGACTCTTCTATCTCCCTCAAATCCTGTTTGCCACCCAGCATGGGAGTGTCAGCAGGACAGATTCTCCTTACTCCTACCCACCATGATGAGGTGGTTCTACAAGTGTAATAACAAGATGCTCATGATCCTTTTTTGCTTCATTCTCACCGTAACTCCACTTTGGTGCTGAGGCTGTTGACTGAAGGGCAGTAGTAAAGGTTAGTTCCTTGCACCTGCTCCTTCCTTTCCCGAGGGACAGATTCTCTTTCCCTTTGTACTTTTCTTATCAAGATCCTTATTCCTCACAACTGAGAGTCCAGGCCGGGCCTGTCCTCAAGGGAGGTGAGGGTACAGGAAAAGCCATTTATGAGGTGTGATTTGAAGAGGACTGAAAGGTCAGCCCACTCAAGAAAACCTCCCACTCAAACCTGCTGTGGGGACCTGAGATTTCCTGCACAGTCAGTCTCTTCTGTAAAGAGGCAAATGTATCACCTGGAAAAAGGGCAATACAGTAACACACTACAGTCTATGAATACTCTCCTTTAACAGATGAGCTATCCTTGGGGATTAGGGCATCTAAAAAAGGACTCTGAAAGGACCATATATAAGTAAGTTTTGTTGGTTGAAGGGACCTTGACCATAGTTCCAGACCACAGGGGTGTGCCTTGGAGTAGGGTTCTGGGCAATCCAAGACAACATTAAGACAATGAGCCTAGATAGGGTCAGAGTATTGTTGAAAAGGGTGAGTAGAAGTTGGTGCTAAAGACCTTTTTCCTATTTACTACCATATCAGTCCCGGAGTCTAAAATACATGGCTCTGAGTAGCTGAGTTCTTCCCATCTCACTCCCCTCCCCCACTTCAGACTCCCCTGGGTCTTTACCCAGCCCACTGTGTCTGACCACCCCATGTCCTGTCCTCGGCGTGCCCGCCAGGGCAGTGACTCACCTGGGCTGCGTGTGTGTGGTGACTCATGCTGCACTGTGTGGCCATGATGGGAACTGACACGCTGGGCTCTGTGCCCGACCAGCTTCTACATTTGTCCAGAGTTGGCAGCTGCCAGGAGGAAGGTCCCAGGGTGGACTTGGGGAGAAGAGAGGGATGACCCTTTTGCCTTTTCTTCTCACTCTCTGGGAGTGAGCCTGGAAAGTCTCTTCTGACCATGAATGAGAAGCTTGAGATTGTTTTGGAAAGAAAGCTGATAAGGTATAGTAGAGTGAGTACACCATACTTGGGGGCTCCCAGTTCTTGGACATCTAATCAGGACAGGATTGAGGATTAAAGCTCTTTCCAAGTCATGTTCTTTGCAGAAGCCGGTTGAGTTCCAGGACCTGTCTTGAGGGTTTTGTTCTGGGTCAGGGTACAAACTGGACCAAAGGTATTCCTAGACTCATTAGATCCCCTCCAGAATACCCTGGTTCCCAGAGAGTTCTTCAGGTTTCCATAGGCTAGCCCCACATTCCAGGAATACTGTTCAAAGTGGACCAAACTATGGACACAAGAAGAGGGCTCAGCCCTCTGTGCTCTTTCCTTTTCTGGACGTTAATGACCTAGAACCCATTTATATTATTGTTATCATTATTATTATTATTAATAACAGGTGACATTTACATAATGTGTGGTTTGCAGAACATTTTACATATATTCTCATTTGATCTTCACAACAAAACTGAGGTAGTTACTACCTCAGTCGTATTATCCTTAATAAGCATTATTAAACTTATTTTGTAAACAAGAAAACTGAGGCTGAGAGATTTAGTGACTTGATCAGTTATACAGCTACTAAACGTCAGAAGGAGGATTCGAATACAGGTCTCTCGACTCTCCTCATTGTACCACATTCTCCCTGACCCACTGTGCTGCCACATAGAACATACCAAGAGTGAACCCTGCCCCTGGGTAAGTGTCTGGTCCAGTCCCACAAGCTCTTGGCATTAGATTTGACTTTGACCATGTCTGAGGATGGTTTTGCACATCCTCCTACGACCTCGAGGTTCAAAGAATTGCCTAGAACAGAGAGGTTGAGTGACTTGTCTGTCACCCAGACAGTCCGTATCACTGTGGGACTTGATCCCAGGTCTTCTGAGACTCAAGACCAGTTCTCAGTTCACAACAACTTGCTACCTGTAATACAAATGCAGATATATGCAAAAGAAATAGGAAGTAATTTCCAGGAGAGTACAGTCAACTGAGGGGATTAGAAAAGGCTCCCTCTAGGAAGCAGCACCTGAGCTGTGCCTTCTTAAGAGGCCCCAGAGGGTTTGAGTCTGGACCAGGAGAGTGGGGGGCGGGGGGCAGGGGGCGGGGGGTGGCGTCTGCCTCTGGATCTGCTGTTATTATATCATCCCTAACCCTGTGGATCCTGGAGAAACTGAGTCAGCCTTGTCCTTTTCTTTCTTTCTTTCTTTTTTTTTTTTTTAGGCAGTTGGGGTTAAGTGACTTGCCCAGGGTCACGCAGCTAGTAAGTGTCAAGTGTTTGGTCTGAGGTTGGATTTGAACTTGGGTCCTCCTGACTTCAGGGCCGGTGCTCTATCCACTGCTGTCCTTTCTTTTTGTAGAGGCTGTGTCAGACAGTGGTTCCAGGCATTCTAGGCCTGCCATAGGTAGATGTTAAACTCCCCTGGGGACACTGGAACTAACTCACTTTCCCCAGGGAGGGAAACAAAGTGTAGTAGGAAGAGACTTGGACACAAAAGAACCATGGGGTAGTCTCAGTTCTTTCATTTACTAGCTGTGTAAAAGCCTTCACTCCTCCAAATGTCAGCTTCTTCCTGCGTCAAGTGAGAGGCCCAGCTGATCTAGCATTCCCTCCACTTTGGCGTTCTGTGATTCTTTGGGCTATGCTCTCTGTGATAGTAGAAAAAGTAAAGACTTTAGCTCAGAGAGAACCTTGGTTCTCAGAATCTCCAATCTCAGGATTGGAAGGGACCTCAGAGGTTACTTACTCCAGTAGCTGAACAGTAATCTCCTCCACAGTGCCCCCAACAAATCGTCCTCCAGTTCAGATCCTAGGGGTTGCTATTTACTGCCTGTGTGCTCTTGGGCAAGTCACTTCTGTAAATGAAGGGGGCTGTAAACTTTTAAGGGCCCTTCCGTTTCTAAGTCTTACGATTCTAAGAACCCTCCTAACCTCCCAGGACTGATCCAGACCCCAAATCCTAGGATACAGCTTCCGCTGGTCTAGACTTGGACACCATAAACTGCCAAGCTGTATGTTTTCCACTGCTCCAGAAACCCTTTTTTTCTTTTCAGAAGGGCAACAGGTGGCTGGGGCAGGAGGCTGTAACCCCTCGAGCTCTAAGGGTACCCTTCTTCCTGAAACATGGAAGAGAAGTCCCTTCTTGTTCCATTCCTCCCCTCCCCAATCCTTGCTGTCCTGTGGTTTCAGCTCATCCTGGGCTTCTTGCCAGCGCAAGCCCCCACCTTGACACTGTTTAATCTCCTGAGAGGCCCCTGGGGAGGAGAGGGGGGAGCCGGGTGAGTCGGCAGTACCAGTGGCTCTGTCCCACTGAGGGCTCCTGCTTTTCAAGGACATGTTTCCTATTTTCGGTCGTCTGAGGAGCTGTCTCCAGCCTCCTTTCTTTTTCTCATTTACTTCTATCTGTTTACCTCCCAACCCACTATTAAAATTTCACTTTTCTGCCTCCAGACTTCCCAGGGGAGGCCGGGAGGGCCCACACCCTTTACAGGATCTCTTGAATTGCTTCTCTGGGTGTGTGTGGCAGAGAGGGACTTGGGACTGCCACAGGGGGTTCTGGATGGACCAGTGCCCTAGGACTGGTTCTCCTTTTCCCCCTCTCTCTTCTTCCTCCCCACTCCCATACTGGCTCTGCTGGAGAGTGACAGCATCAGAACCTGGCCCCAGGCCAGAAAGATGACATCATTGCCTGCATCAGCTATCAGCCCAGTGGGCTCAGTGCCCAGCGATGCTTAGGGGCTTCACAACCTAGCTACCCTGTTGCTTTATGAAGAGTCATCAGGTTGGATGCTCAGGTTAATGGTGCCACCCTCTACCCCTCCACTCCCTAGACCTCTAGAAAGAGCTTCAGACTGGGTGAGGGTGGTAAAAATGGTCCTAGGATCTGCACCCAAACACATAGATCCTGAAGGACCTCCAGGAAGCTGAGGCAGTTTTGGAGTTTGAGTCTGTTCAGTTCAAGTCAGCTTGCATTTTTTGAGCATTTGTTAAATGGCTCTGCCTTCAAGGAGCTTGCTGGTGTGAAAGAACATGTGCACAGGTCAGTACATACATATTGGAATAGGGGCTGGGCCTATGTTGTCATTGGTAAATAGAACCTCCTTTACCAGTGCAGATCTGCACTTCCTCCTATGACCTCGAGGTTCAAAGAATTGCCTAGAACAGAGAGGTTGAGTGGCTTGCCACCAGGACAGTCTGTATCACTGTGGGACTTGATCCCAGGTCTTCCCAGATTCAAGACCAGTTAGTTTTCTGTTCACAACAACTTGCAGCCTCTAATACAAATGCAGATATATGCAAAAGAAATAGGAAGTAATTTCTGGGAGAGTATTAACAACTGAGGGGATTAGAAAAGGCTCACTCTAGGAAGTGGTACCTGAGCTGCGCCTTGTTAAGCAGTGGAGGAGAAGAAGGCAACCATTATAGGCAGGGGGACAATGTGTGCAAAAGCATGGAGGTCAGAGATGGGTTGTTATGAACAGGGAAGAATCTATTGGCATTTGGACTTGAAACAGAGTAGAAAAGGGATAATGATAGGAGATAGCTCTGGAAAGACATGTTGGAGCCAGAGAACTTTAAATGTTACACTAAGTTTGGATTTTATCTTAAAGGCAATAGGGAGCCACTACAGGGGAATGATGTGGTCAGATCTGTATTTTAAGAACATCAGTTTGACAGAGAATATAGCTGTTTGGGAAGGGAGCTCATGGAGTACCAGATATTGAGCTGATATTGGGCCATAGTGTTTGTATTCCTGAGTTTCCCCTTCCTTTCAACTCAAGGCAATGCTCAGGCCTTTACACCAAGGTCCCTCAGGACACCTGCTCTGAGGTAAAGTCCTTGCTTACCTCATTCTCTGCACATCCCTTCCCTTCAATTGCCACAAAGCCAATTCAGATTGGGAATCAGACCTGGAGTGGTTCTAGTTTTAAAGCCTACCCCCTACTCCCACATGAAAAAGGAAGCCCTGGGCTCACTTCAGTCTGAAGCAGAGCAAAATTATCAGTGCATGAAGACAGAGAACATGACTTATCCAAACTTTATATCTCCCCGTCACCAATGTCTCTCACAGGTTCTCTCTATAGTCGACAGTAAAAATATGTGAAGTTGTCTTTGTGGAAAATTACCCTGGGTGGGCATGCCAGAGAAAGCACCATCTTCCACCTTGGCATCTTGCTGGCCCATCATTTACCAAGAAAATGAGGCTGGAGGGCAGGGTCCTGAGCTCTAAGTTAATGTTTCTCTTGCTTCCCTACACTGTATACATACTATGGACAGTGAGTCCGAAGACCAGGAGCCAAAAGACTTGAGTTCTAGCCCCAGCTCTGCCCTTAACCTGTTGTGTGACCTTTTTGGCAAATCATCTGTCTTCTCTGTTGCCTCAGTTTACTCATCTGCCAAAAAAAAAAAAAGAGGTCTGTCTGTATCTTATAGGGTCACTGGTGGGGCGGGGTGTCAAATGAGATGGAGGTAAGAGTTTTTGAAAAGGAAGAGTCTTATATCACAAGGTGGTATTATTCTGGGCCAAAGTCTTTGGGGTTTATGTGGTCTGATGGGAGCTCAGCAGAGTCACTCAGACACTGCTGTAGGTGAGGGACAATGGGGCTGATGTTTCTGTCTGCCAGCCCTACAGGTTCTGGGGATTTGAGCTCTGCTTGAGCCTCCTAGGGCCTTTTATTTGCCCTCAGTGGTCTCTCATGTGAAGGCAGCACATGACCCTACCTCCTCTTCTTCCCTCCCAATTACTTGCTTCTTAATGGGTGCTACTTTCTTTTTTTCCCTGTTTTTTAAATATTATTTTGTTTTTTTCAATTAACAAAAATTCATTTTCTTTCAATCCCATTTCCTCTCCCCATTAAAAGAAAAAAAAAGAAAAAAAAAACTCATAACAGATATGTGTAGCTAAAAACAAATCCCTACATTGATCATGTTAAAAAAAAAGTCTTATTTTGTACCCTGAGCCCAACACCTCTCTGTCAGCTGGGTAATGGGTACTCTTTTTTCCTTCCTGTATATTCATAGCTATAGTCACTCCCTCTGAATGGATGCAGAAAGAAACAGGCACATGATAGAATGGAAAGGCAGCATAACAGAGCTCAACAAGCTTCTGGGGCCCCTCCTCTCCCTGTCCCATGGTCCACTGGGCTAGTTAGAATCTTCCACTTCCATTTTTGGGTCTGATAGAGACCCGGTATATGTGTGTGCATGGAGATATTATTGGGGGTACCGGGAATATAGTTCCCTTAAGGAAAACTGGTCATTTAGGTCACTTTGCTCTTGCTATGGGGAGAATAACTCCACCCTTTTGGGACTAAGATGAATGAGGCCGTGGCCAGGCTGCTGGGCTCCCCTGGAAGAGGGCCTGGGACTGCTTCATGGCAGAGAGTGCCAGCAAACCTGACTAACTTTTCCAGCTCCTAGCCTCACCCAATTGGCTGTTGGCTACTGCTTGTCCACTTCTCAAGGCACGACGTGGGAGTTGGGAAAAGAGCTGAGCACACTGGGTGTGTGAGCCAGAAGGGTGATCGTGCAGCCAGCATGGACGTCAGAGCCAGCCAGGATACACATTGGGGTGGAAGGATGTGTTTGCCCAGTTCTAATTGAGGGCACAGGGACACTGTTGAGGTGCTGCAGGCGGGTGCTTTCATTACTCAGCAAGACACAGAGGAAACCTGGAGATTATGCTGGTCACTTTACACAAAGGCCTCTGTATATGTTTGTGCACTCAAACCCGTGTGCACACACACTCACACTAGAGCCCATCACAACCCACTGGGCACTCAGTCAATACACGTGATGTCTGTCTGAGGACCTGTGTGGGGGTATCTATGACTGCATGGGGCTGTGTGTCGGTGGGCTCCACAGGGACCCTTTTCCCTCTGGCTTTTGTCACTGCTGGATTCTCCCTTCAAGGCCACTGAGGAAATGTGGGGCTGTGAGGTGAGGAGGTTGTTTGTGGCTATCTGCAAGCCAGAGGAACGAACACAAGGTCTGTTCTTTCTAACTTCCTCAGCAGCTCATCTGCCCTCTTTGCAGTACCTGAGTGTTTCTGGAAGTGACCTATTCATTCTGTTCACCTTAGATCATAGACCATAGATCTAGGCCTGATGAGAGTCCATTGCATTTAACTTCGTGATTTTTAAAGCCAAGAAAAATGAGGCCTAGAGGAATTGAGTGACTTGTCAGAGGTCATGCAGCTAGCAAGTGTCAGAGGTAAGATTTGTACCAGGTCCTTTTATTCCAGAGGCAGGGTTCTTTGCACTGTACCATGCTGCCTCCATGCAGACTATGCTACTTGGAGAAAGGAAGGATTTTGGTTAGAGCCAGGAATCAAAATCAGGATTCCAGTCATGCCCTATCTACAGTACCTTACCCCATGTCCGAGCTGCATTTGAGGTTCTCTCTCATATCAGTGGTTGGTGGGTCCTTTGCTTACTCTCAGGATCACCTCAGAGCTCTTGAAATAGAAAGGATTTCCTGCCCTATTTGGAGGATCTTTATGGGCCCTGTTTACAGTCTCCTCATCTCAAGAATTAACTTCAAAAACACAGCTACCCTTGTGACAGTCCTTGAAGACAGCTTCCAGGAACTGAGAGGGACCCTCAGTATAGAGCAGTTTCTAACAAATAGGATGCCTCCCCCCAGACCCATGGATGAAGAAGGTGAAGGCAGTGATTGCCAAAACCTTATACTTAGTAGGTTTCACCCCATCTTTTAGAAAACTTTGCTTTGCCTTGGATTTCTGACAAGGCAACCTGACAACATCTTCTACTCCCAGGGTCCCTGATGGGGATAGGTGACATCATCTCTCAGCAGCTGATAGAGAAACGGGGTTTAGAGAAGTACGAAGTCCACAGGACCCTGACTATGGCTTTTATAGGCTGCAGCTTTGTGGTGAGTCACACTATAGTTGGCTGAATGGTGATTTGGACAGTGGACCCAGATCTCCATCTTCCCTTGTACTCTTCAGGCTCTTGACTTCCATCTCTATGCCCATAAGCCCCAGTCTCCTTCTCATTGTCCTCAGCTATTTCCCCTATGATGTGATTTCATTCCTTTTGCGGGAAACAATATTACTATTTGCTAGCTAAAGTTTCCCTTTTTTTTGCTTCTCCTTCTCTCCTGGGTTTGCCTTCAGGGCCCTGTGGTAGGTGGCTGGTACAGGGTTTTGGACCGACTGATCCCTGGCAACGCCAGGATGGATGCACTGAAGAAGATGGTGGTGGACCAGGTGAGCAGAGGGGAAGTGAGGAAGGGAAGAGCACCAGTGGATCCGGAGGAGCTGTGATCACATGAATCTGTGTCTGTGGAGGAGGAATGTACTGTCTGACAGGTAAGCATTAGAGCTCTGACGTTCTCTTCTTCCTGTTCTCTCTTCTCAGGGGGCCTTTGCCCCATGTTTTTTGGGGTGCTTGCTCCCACTGATTGGTACACTTGATGGACTGTCAGCCGAGGACAACTGGGCCAGACTGCGACGGGTGAGGATGGAGTCTCAGGATTTGATTGGGCATACAGGTGGCTCTGGGGGCTCCCCAAAGGAACGTGGTAGAATTCAAGCAAATTAGGAATGTTGGGAGTTCAGAGACTTAACAGGCGGTTTGAGTCCAGTGATAAGGAAAAAGGCAGTTGTTGCATAAGGCAGGAAGCATGTTTGCTGAGCACCAAGAAGTCCCATTCATTGAAAACCAGTCAATTATTAAGTGTCTTCAGTGTGTGGAGAACTGTGGTTGGTCCTGGGGGAGAGGCACAGATAATTAAGACTTGTCCCTGCTCTCATGGAGTTAATGGAAGAGAGTGGAAAAGGATATGATGCCAAGAGGAGGGAGTGTAAGACTTAACCTTTTCCTTACTTGTTTCTTCAGGATTACTCTGATGCCCTCATCACCAACTACTATGTAAGAGACAAATCAGTCGTTCTCCTTAAGGCTGTGGAAAGCCCTGGGCTTTGGGCCTTCTCTGGATTGGATCTTGGCTGGGGATGACTTGGGGCCTGAGCATGTTACCTCTTGGACTGGATTCACGTGCCCTGGGGTTGGGATGGGTCTGGTGAAGGCTCTTTGAATGGAGGCCAGAAAATACTGTTCCAGATAAGACAGTGGTATAACTTTTTCCTTATTAATATTTTTTTTTTTTTGCAGATCTGGCCTCCTGTGCAGTTGGCCAACTTCTACCTTATTCCCCTTATCTACAGGTAGGGAAAAAACCCATTGATACTCTCCCAAAATATTTCAGGTTCGAAAATACAAGTCTGAAAGCTGTGTGATGCTCATTCCATCTTTAAATCCCTCAGCCCTTCAAACGAAAATCTTCTGCCTACAAATCAAGGCTCTTCATTTTCCTTTGTGTTGTAGTCAGAACCTCTCACCCCTCACAGAGTCCTCTTTAGTTTGCCCTCTGAATCTCATACAGAGTTCCAAAAAAGATCCCACTTCCACAGTCCTGTCCCATCTGAATCCTTGCCCTCTGATGCCATGCCATTGCTGGAGGGACAGAGTCCAAGCTGCTACAGCCTAGGTTAGGCAGACAGGTAGGGCAGGAGGCTGGGTAGGATATGTCAGTTCAGACAAAAGGAAAACATTTTACTACTCTTCAATAAAACTGGTGGATATTGTACTATTTGGTTTTGAAGCCTCAGGAAGGTTATAAGGCAATCAGAGAAAGGCAAATAAAATAGTTGGGGGGAGAGAGGCCATCTTAGAATTGGAACTCTAGTCTGGAAAGGAGGGAGCTAAGAGGAGATAATCTAAAGGCAAGAAAAACCACACGCACCATGGATGTGGTGAACATGGACTTCCCCAAATCCTGAGATGTTGGAATGAGGGGAAATCCTTTGAAATGCCAGTATGGCAAATGTATAGCTAATAAAAGGAAATACCACATCATGAAGCAGGTAATAAACTTAAGGAACTCACTACCCCAAGAGTTGGTACAGGCAGGAAATAGAAACATTCAAAAAGCATTTGGATATGTGCCTGAATGAAAGCCATAAATGGTTACTGGGAGAAGCTGAGCTATTCTCTACCTTTAAAAGTAATATTGGGAAGGACAACCATACTCTTCTGGGGTACAGCCCTTGGGACCTCTGTTGGGGCCCCAAAACACTGACTTGGGTAAACCAGGGTTCTGACCCAGTACAGTCATTACTATTTTAAGGAGGGAAAGGGGTAGGGGAAGACTTGGGTGGTAAGATGAGGTTATAAATCCTGCCAGTTTCCTGTGAGAGAATTTATCTTTTCTGCTTTTTTCTCTCCCTCTTCTCCATCTTTTTCCCCCCATTGCTCTTCTCCTTTGTCTTTCTCATCTCTGTCCCCACCCCCTTCCTCCTGTTTTCAATGATGCTTTTCCTGTTCCTCAGGTTGGCTTTTGTCCAGTGCATTTCTGTTGTCTGGAACACCTACCTATCCTGGAAGTCACATCGGTCCTGAGTTGTCCTCTCCTCATGTCCCCCCATGTTGGAGCTATATCTCTTGACCCTGGGATGGGTTCAGATGTCTTCAGAGCACTCCCAGACAGTTTTTGGGATGCCAAGCCACTGGACAGAAAGGACTTCTGGGATGGGACACTGAAATGAATCAACCCCTCCTGTGAAATGTAAATAGTATAACCTTGCAGGTAGTTTTAGAAAATGAAAACTGATGTATTTTGCTTCTCTTGTTACCATTACGTGCAGTCTTTGCCTAATTCTCTGCTCATCTCTTCCTAACCCATCCTCCTCCAAGTTTGGCTAGACCCTTAATTCACCCTAGACCTTTACAGACAGCTCTACTTTAACTAAATGGCAGTGATAATTGATGTGGTTTGTGGCTCTAGACACAGAATACAGTTCCAATAGAAACTTAATCAAAGATCTGTAATGCTGTTGGGTATTTTACCCCAACCTTTCCCCCTCCCTGACTGAGGGAAAAATTCAGTCAGCTCTGAAGCCAGAGCTCAGCACCTATCCCTCTTTTTCTACCATTCTTCCCTCGTTTAAGAATAAAAGAATCAGGGGCAGCTAGGTGGCGCAGTGGATAGAGCACTGGCCCTGGAGTCAGGAGGACCTGAGTTCAAATGTGGCCTCAGACCAAACACTTGACACATACTAGCTGTGTGACCTTGGGCAAGTCACTTAACCCCAATTGCCTCACCACCACCCCCCAAAAATAAATAAAAAAATAAAAGAATCAGCTAGGCTAGACCACTGGGTAATTCTTCTTTGTGTAACTATTATCTGCCCAGGGTAATGGGGTAAATAGAATGTGCCCTTTTTGGTCTGGGAATTTCCTGGGGACCAGAGACTATCTACTTTTAAATCCTCAATTAAAAGACCCTGGACTTTTAAATTTCAGGATCTAGACAGAAGTGCAAATGGTAGGGAGCCTTTAGGAAAAGAGAATTAGCTCAGTGGATTAATTTGGTCCCTTTTGCCTGTGAGGACAGCCTTTGGTCCCAGTCTCTGGCTGCAGACCTAGAAGCTCAGGCTATCAGGGTCGTGTGCCAACTGTATAGTCCCCTTTCTTCCTCTCAGTCTAGAATTCAGATCCCTCTCTTGCTGAAAGGGGCTGAAAAGAGCTGTAGTCAGAACCACGGACAGCTCCACATTTTTGCCTTTGGTCAGCTTCAGCTTTCCCTTCTCCTCAAGGAAAATTTTCCCCAGGAAGTTGAGGTTTCCACTAGGGAGGAGGGTGCTGGAAAGAGAAGATGCTGTAGACTGAATTGAAAACGGTGCGAAGTACTCCTAGGTCCTTCGGTCCAAGCCAGGACTGCCCACGTCCGGGCCCATCTGGAACTGTTGTTACCCATAACGACTGCAATCACCACCCTCGGCGCTTGCCCCTAGAGGCAGCAGGCGGTGTTCCATTCTGGGGGTCTTGGCCCTCGGGGCAGTCCAGCTCCTTACCCCTGCTGGCCTTAGAGCTGCGGTTCTGTCAGTTCATCTACAATCAGTGCATGGCCTTCGCTGACGTCAATCGGAGCTGCCCCGTCCCTATATAAATCTGGCAGCAGCCCCGGGACACTCCCCGAGTTCCCCAGGCACTGGCAACCGGCCCCGTGCTCCCAGACTCCGGTTCGGTTGGGACACTGACTGAAGCTCTGCTCCACCCCCGCGGCAACACGCTCGGAGAAACCCGTGAGTGGCTTGTTCTGAGCGCACCCGCGCCCCTAGCTCAGCGCGCTCCCGAACCAGCCCTTTCTTGCTTGCTCCCCCAGCTGCTTTGCTGGGTAGCTAGTCCCCTTCCCGGGCGGGCTGGGAGGTGGGTGGCTCCATCGCGGGACGTGTCCCAGATCTCTTATCTCCAAGCGAAGAGAAAAGGGTGTCTGGGGTGTGCGCCTAGCTTCAGCGGCTGTCGGGGCACGTGGTGGACTTAGTCTGGCAGGGCACGTGGTGTCCGAGGTTGGAATGGGTGGGAAATGTGCCGGGGTAGAAGTGGCCAAAAGCCTGGGGCAGCCTTGGACCCGCCGCCCCCCCTCAACCCCCACACCAGCCCGTCTTCCGCGCGCCCTACCCCTTGTGTGTGTGCCTCCCAGGGCCCGGCAGCGGCGGCACCAACACCATGAGGCGGCCAGGGCGCATCGCTCTGTTGGCGGCATTGCTGCTTCTCTTAGTCCAGCTGCAGCCGGGCAGCGGCGGACGGGGTACTCTGGAGGCGATGTCCCCCAGGGACAAGGGTCTGGACCGGAGTTTGCGGTGGAGTCCCAGGAACCATGCCGGGGGAGTCCGTGCCCTCCTCCTCCTGACCGAGCGTTTCCCGCGTTTGGCCTCTGGGACAGGCACCCTGTCCTCACCCCTGGGCTATCGGCCCAAGCCCAAACGGGACGCACCTTCTCTCTCCATCGACCTGACCTTCCATCTGCTGCGGACCCTGCTGGAACTGGCACGGACGCAGAGCCAGAGGGAGCGCGCCGAGCAGAACCGGCTCATCTTCGACTCGGTGGGCAAGTGAGCCCGGGCTGGCCAGCCTTGTTCTGCCGCCTGAGACCAAGAGGCGGCATTGGGGGGCCAGTCCTGGAAGGCCCCCGGAACTGTGCGGGGCGTGGCCCGGTTCGACTCCCTACTGCGGACGGTGTTTCTGTTTCTAATAAAAGCGATGAAAAGTCGGTGTCTCCCGCTTTGGCGTGGGGGCTAGGGGCTGGGGCGGGAGCGGAGGAGGACGCCTAGCTGAGACCCTGGACCAGGTCACTCTATAGGGCCAGACCAATCCCTTTTTGTGGAACCCCACCCGACTAGCCTAGATTAAGGGGGATAGATCCTTCTCCGAACTCTCAAAAAACAGTTACAAATCCATTTCCCACTCACTCCCCAGATCCCTCTGAAAGCTGAACGCTCAGGGTTTTCGGGGCTACAGTTCTATCTACAAACCCCTCTACTTCCCTCCACTTGTTTCCCGAGCCAAATCTGAGTAGACAGTGACCCGTCGCTCCCTTTCCCTTGTCTCCGGCTAAGGTTTGACCTCGGTAGAGCTTTCTACTTCACTGGGTGAAGGACCCCAGACAGATCAGGGACCGTGAGCGGGCGGGGCTGCAGTTAACCTAACCCAGTTAACCCTCTGGGAATTGGGGAGAAGAGATGCGCCCGGGGTTGGGGCCTAGACACCGGGCCACGAGGCCACAGGGACAAAAGGAGAGAATTCGGAGCACATAAGGTAATCACAACCTTTATTTTGAGCCTCAGGGCAGCCAAAGATTCGTTCTCTCCCTGCGTCTTCTGAGTTATTTTTAGTGCCTGCAGGAACCTAGAAGGTTTTCTTAAGGCGAAATCAGTGCAGACCTGTTCGGACGGAAAGACTCAGTGGGTGGGCGAATTAAAGAGGTGCTAAGAGGACCCCGGAGGGTGCATGTAACTCCACTTAGACCAGAAGCTACTGAGCCTCCCTCTGGTTCAGTGGTTGAACAGCATCTCCTACAACCAGCCCTTTGGAAAAGGCAGGGAGAGGGAAAAGACAGGGCAGACATTACTCTTCAGAAACTCGGGGCTCTGGAGGGAATATAGGAGCCCAAGAGAGGCACTTGGATACCTAGGTAGTACCCTAGCTTCCCTGGGTACCTTAGCTCTGTGGCTGCTGGGAATCAGGTGAGAGGAGCCAATCCACCTTCTGCTCTAGCCCTGACTCATTATTTTCACTGGATCAGTCTTTTGAAAGGCATCTCCACAACCTAGTAGGGCTCACTTACCCTCGGAAGGCTCCAGTTTCTCTTCCTCAGCCCCGGCACCGCCATCCTCCCCTTCCAGCACCAACTCCTCTTCTTCTTCCTCCCCAGAACCCCCTGGGGCAAATATAAAAATCTGATGACATAGGCTTGGACCCCATCATCCTGAAACCTCAGTTCCTTCATGTCCCTTAATTAGCCCCAAATCCAACTGCACAATATGATACAGGAGGTGCAGGACCACCTCTATTTATAGTCAGAGAACCTGGGTTCAAATCCTATTTCTGAACACTTCTTGTGCAACCTTGAGCAATTCAATTCACCTTACTGGGACTCAGTTTCCTTACCTGCAAAATGAGGGAGGGGGTTGGACTGGATGACCTTAAAGGTCCCTTCTAGTTCTAGAGTTATCATCCTATGATTCTGGTTCTGCTATCTGTGTGACTTTGGATGAGTCACAACATCTCTGGGCTTCAATTTCCTGAACGGAAAATAAAGGAGTGGGAATAGATGACCTGGAAGGTCCCTTCTCTCTCTAAGTCTATGATTATAATGCAGTTAATTACCTCCAATTCACCCCCCTTCCTCTTTCCTTTAGTCCAAGCATTTCAGTCTGCCAGTCTCTCCCCGGGTCTCTCACCAGTCTGGAAGTCGATTGTCCGGAGCATCTCAGCCACATGTTCCACACTCACTGAGAACTGTTCCATGCTTTCATAGCCTGGTTCTGGCCGCCCAGCCAACTCCACCTTTGCCATGTCCCCAACCCTATAACAGTGGGCTCAGCTCAATCCCGAAGTGCCCCTAAGGAGGTCTCCTTCATTGAGACCCCTACACCTTCCCTGATTCATCAGCCCAGGCCCAAAGATGGGCCCCCACCCCTTTCTGCTCAAGGAGCACAGTCCTCTCAGACACATATACCCTTGCCCCTCCCTCTTCCCCTTTGATCAATCTCCCCAACCCAGCTAAGAGTGAAGCCCAACACGTCAGACTCACTTTTTAATCAGCTCCTTGGCCTGCTACAGGGGGGAAAGGGAGAGCAAAAGTGAGGCCAACATAGCCAGCTCCACCCCAGCCTAACCTAAACACACATCTGAGAAGCATCCCCACCCCACTCCCTCTCCAACAGTCACTAAGGTCTTCTGGCCCTGTGACTGCCCCACCTGGAGGTAGAGAGCCATCTGTGGCTCCTCCATGGACTGAATGGCAGACTCCACAAGCTTGGATGAGGCCTCTAAGTGGTCTCCATATTGACGGATAAGCCCTCGAACCCGCTGAAGTTTCTCCTCCTGCTCCCGGGCCAGGGTCTGAAGCAGTTCTGCTTTCCTCTCTTCCAGCACTGCACACAATGTCTCAAACCTCTGTCCCAGTAGTTGCTTCTGCCTTCGACTGTTGTCCTGAGGTTGGGGTGGAGATGTTGGGAGGAGGGTCCTTCAAAGGGTCAAGGGTCTCAGGTACCCAGAAAAAGCCCAGACTGACTCTTAGAACCTGTGCTGTCAGGGTCCTGTCATGAGTCAGCTACCACAGACAGGCACAGAGCTGAGAGGTGTTACATACTCACATGCATTCATAAACACAATCATATCCCATACAGGATTTGCTTGGTCTCATCTAACAGTCTCACCTTCAAAGGAGGGAGGATGGAAGGGTTGGGGAGACCAGAAAATATTCTGATCTTATGGGGGCCAGGGAAAGGCACAACTATACAATTCTTCAATACACATAGGAATACCTGGTCCCAAGCCCTGTGCCTTGGATGGAAGTCTAGAGAAACACTTTTCTCTTTCCTTCTCCCCACCAGGTTCTAGGCACCCCATTTTCCTTGGGCCCTGACTGCTATAGCAGTAGTTACCCACCCCTCCTAATCCCACATCTCCAGGAGGCTCCTGTCCACCACTTTCCCTGAAGATGCCCCATACTTACTTCAATGGTCTGGCACACTTCTTCCATCTGAGTAATGACTGCCTGGACCCGGTCATTTCCAGCCACCAGCATGGCAATACCATCGCTCAGCTCACTCTGCCACATATGTTAGGCACAAAATGATTCTATGCCTAGGCATCTTCCCACTTCTAGGCACTCCCCCTCCCTTCAAACACATAGCTAGGATGGACAACAATAGCCTAGGAAGGGTATCCTTAAGAAACTATTTCAGATGGGGCAGCTAGGTGACGTAGTGGATAGAGCACTGGCCCTGGATTCAGGAGGATCTGAGTTCAAATCCGGCCTCAGACCAAACACTTGACACTTACTGGCTGTGTGACCCTGGGCAAGTCACTTAACCCCATTGCCTAGCCAAAAAAAAAAAAAAGAAAGAAAGAAAGAAACTATTTGAGAAAATCTAACCCCAGGGAAGCTGAATCTTCAGAGGCTAGAAAGCGAAGAGGGAGGTGAAACTCAGGGATTCGGAACCAAATCTATATAGGTTGTGGGAAGTGAGGTAGAGGATGTATTCCAAAGAACCCCATAGTTTAGATAAGATATAGACTTCAAGACTCAAGTCTGTTTCCCCACACTTGAGGTTGTTACCTTCTGGCGTTTGTAGATGTTGGGCAGTGGTGCCACCTCACAGTCCTTGTGAGCTCCAAACACCTTACAGAGGGAGCAGGTGGGCACCTCGCAGCTCAGGCAATAGATATTAATCTTCTCCTCCTCATGCTCCTCACACATTAGGTGCTGCTCTGCCTTAGAGTGCAGAGGCCTAGACAACAGTAGCAAAAGGATCATCAGGGTGGCAACCAGGATTAGTAAAGACAGATCTGAGCAAGTGAGATAGTGGAAGTTGCATCTCGCAGCCAAAAAATTCCTGCTGAAACTAGCCAGGACAGTATGTCTATCCTGTCTATGGGCTGTATGTCTAGGGCCCTTGCCTAATCTCTTAAACACTTTCCTTCAGAGAAGACAATCCCAGGACAATGGCCATCCCAAGGTCTACAAGGAGTCAAATAGTTGGGTAGGTGGGATAGGGATAGGGGCTAGATCTGTGATTTTATTGATTTAGGGAACTCTCATACAAGAAAACTCTCTCTCCTAATACAAGTTAGCATTTCCTCAGCAACTTGTAGTCTGGGAGTTTCAGAGAGCTCTGAGAGACCAAGTGATTTGCCCAGGGTCACAGAAGATGTTCAGAAGTGGGATGTAAACCCAGGTGTTCATGGCTCCAAAGCCAGCTCTCTCAATCCCCAACTGGGTATGGGTAGAAATAAGGGCTGAGATTGACATATGAATTTGTTCTCCTCATGGGCCAGTTGTATTTACCTAGTTTTAGGTCTGAGATCATCTACTAAATTCAGTTAGCCTTCCAACAAATGTGTGCCATTGGGCACTAAAGTGACCCTCTATAATGCACAATTTTCCAATGGATCCTCAGGCTCCTGGATGTTGGTACTCCCCTAAATGATGCACAACTCGTCCTTAGCCTTGGGTGACCCTTGTCCATGGATTCCTGTCAGTCTTCCATAGGGGTCCACCAAACTTGCTGGATGCTTTCCTCAAAATTTTTTTCTGATTGTATTGCTACCAATAGAGCAGGACGACCATCTTTTCTTATCCTTCTCTCTCTCTCACCATGTCAGGCCCATCTTCTTTTCTAGCCTTTCATTTCTCTGACCCCTTCTCTTGTTTAGTTCTGGAGTGGCAATGTGTTGTGTTCTAGTCATACCCTCTATCCTCTTCTCCATTACCCTTTGAGTAACCCTCAAATTGAATTCTTCAGAGGTTGTGGTATTCTGTGACATAGCCATGAAGGATTACTAGAAGAATACTGGGATTAAAAAGATGGGCCCTTTTTAGGGAGAAGCTTGGGGCCATTAAAAGCACTGCACAATTTCCCAAACCTGCTCTCCTTTATCCTATTCATTTTTGGTCCCAGCTCATTGTCTATGCACATTGTCTGTACAAAATATAGGTACTGATGGACCAAATCTATGGGTTACCCATCCAACTGCCCATCATAGTCTGGACAATAGACATTCTTCATCCACTTGGTTGTTCAGAATAACACATGCTTTCTTGGCATGTCCTAGGTGTCCATCAAAGTTCTGTCTTAGACCCTCTTTTCTTGTTCCTCTATATTCCTTCACTTGATGATTTCATCACCTTCCATGGATTTAATTACCATCTCTATGCTGATGATTCTCCAATCTGCCAGTCTTGTGCCAATTTTTCTGTTGTTGTTCACTCATTTCAGACATATTGGACTCTGTGGCCCCATTTGGGGTTTTCTTGGCAAAGATACTGCAGTGATTTGCCATTTCTTTCTCCAGCTCTTTTTTTTCTTTTTTTGCTTAAGCAATCAGGGTTAAGTGACTTGCCCAGGGTCACACAGCTAGTAAGTGTTAAGTGTCTGAGGCTGGATTTGAACTCAGGTCCTCCTGACTCCAAGGCCAGAGCTCTATTCACTGCACCACCTAGCTGCCCCTTTTCCAGCTCATTTTTACAGATGAGGAACTGAGGCAAATATGGTGAAGTGACTTGCCCAGGGTCACACAGCTAATAAGTGTCTAAGGCTGTATTTGAACTCAGTTCTTCTTGACTCCAGGCCCAGTGTTTTATTCACTGCACCATTTAGCTGCCCTCCCCAATCTCTCCACTAGTCTTCAGTCTCATATCTCCAACTGCCTCTCAGACATCTTGAACTAGATATCCAGCAGACATCTTAAACTCAATATATCCAAAACTGAACTCATTATCTTTCCCTCCACACTCTCCCTCCCTCCTACCTTCCCTATTACTATAGAAGGCAACACTAACTTTCAGGCTTGAAATCTAAGAGTCATCCTGGTATCCTTACTAGTTCTCCCCCTCCCCCCACAACTATGTCTGAGCTGTTACAAATTTCACCTTTGCCACATCTCTCCAATACACCCCCTTCTCTCCTCTGACACTGCCACTACCCTGATGTAAGCCCTCATCATCTCATACCTACATTACTGTAATAGCCTCCTGGTGGGTCTGCCTGCCTCAAGTCTCTCCTCACTCTAATCCATTTTCCATTCAGCCCCTAAAGGATTTTCCTAAAACTCAGGTTCATTCATGTCACCCCAATCCTCTACTCAATAAACTCAAGCAGCTTCTGAAATGCTCTGTTTGATATTCAAAGCCCTTCATAACCTAGTCCCCTCCTAACCTTTCATTCTTCTTATACACTATTCCCTGATGTACTCTTTAATCCACTGACATTGGCCTTCTGACTATTCCACAAATAGGACAATTCCATGTCTTGGCTCCAGGAATTTTCTCTGGATATCCCCTATGCCTGGAATACTCTCCCACCTCCACTCTGACTACTGACCTCCTGGGCTTCCTTTAAGTCCTAACTGAAATCCTACCTTCTTTTTTTTTATAATTTATTTATTCATTTTTTGTTTTCAACATTCTCTTCCATAAGATTTTGAGTCTTAAATTTTCTTCCCCTCCCTCTCTTCCTCCCTCCCCAAGATAGCATGCAATCTGATATAGGCTCTACTTATACATTCATATTAAGCATATTTTCCCATTAGTCATGATGTAAAGAAGAATTAGAACTAATGGGAAGAACCACGAGAATGAAGCAATAAAACAAAACAACAAAAGAAAAGGAAAGCAAAAAGTATGCTTCCATCTGCATTCAGACTCCATAGTTCTTTCTCTGGATGTGGATGGCATTTTCCATCATGAGTCTTTTGGAGTTGTCTTAGATCCTTGCGTTGCTGAGAAGAGCCAAATCTATCAAAGTTAGTCATTGTACCACGGGGCTGTTACTGTGTAGAAAGTTCTCCTGGTTCTCCTGGTTCAGCATCAGTTCATATAAGTATTTTCAGTTTTTTCTGAAGTCTGCTTGCTCATCGAAATCCTACCTTCTAAAGGAAGCCTTCCTCAACCCTCGCAATTCTAGTGCCTTCCCATTATTAATTATTTCCTGTTAATCTTGTATATAGCTTGCTTTGTATATATGTTTGCATATTGTCTCCCCCATTAGATTGTAATCTCGTTGAGAGTACAGACTATCTTTTGCCTCTTTTTGTATCCCCAGAACTTAGTACAGTGCTTGGCACATAGTAGGTGCTTAATAAATGTTTATTAAATGAATGAATGAATGATATCTATGTTTGTGGCTAATCCTCCATTAAATCAGATTCTACGAAGTCCATACCAAGACTTATTTAAATATTGTATTTTTCCCAAGACCTAACACAAATGTCAGCATACAATAGGTGCTTTATAAATGCTGAATGTGAATCTACAAAACAGGTAGGGAGAGAATCAGGACTTACCGTGAAGACTCCTGCTTATAAATGTCAATGATGTTCTCCACCAGCAGGTTGCGCTGCAGTCCATAGACACCATGTCTGTCCAGAACGACCTCGTGCCTACAGGATGGGCAGCGAAACCGCCCCCCTGAGGACACTGTGGTTGAGCCCCGGGATTGCCACAGAGGATTTGAGGCCTGCAGGGGGAGGAAAAGCATTAGGAGCACTGAGGATCAAGGGTAGCATCTCACATCATCAGACCACAGTTAAACATGGAAGGGCTTGGGAAGCACGGGTGGTCACAGGATCCTAAAAAGTCTGAGCTAGAAGAGACAATAAGGTAAAGAAGAGGTTTTCACAAGTCATTCATTTATTTTTTCAGCAATCATATATTAAGTGCTTACTGTGTGCCAAACACTAGCTCCAATGAAGAGGTCAAGAAGGGGTAACTTCTCTTTTGCTGTCCACTGCTAGTCAATCTAGACCTCCCAGGGAGTAAAGAGTCATGGAGTTGATAATAGGCTGAGGTAGAGAGCTGGGTCTATATCTCTCGGAATGGCTGCATACAGCCTGAGGTGGTTAGATAGGAGTCCTTCTCACACAGGACAGAGGCTATTACAACAACTATTGGGATAGCACTTTAAAGTTTGCAACCTGCTTTACATAAGAAAGGGAAATTGAAGAGGAGAGCCACTGACCAAACTAAGGGGTCTCCCATCAATTTGATGAGATTATTTTTTTGTTTTTGCTTTTTGGTGAGGCAATTGGGGTTAAGTGACTTGCCCAGGGTCACACAGCTAGTAAGTGTCAAGTGTCTGAGGCCACATTTGAACTCAGGTCCTCCTGACTCCAAGGCCACAGGTCTATCCACTGTGCCACCTACTTGCCCTGATGAGATTATTGTTGTTGTTGTTTAGTCATGGCTTACTCTTTGGGTTTTCTTTGCAGAGATATTGGAGTGGTCTGCCATTTCCTTTTCCACCTCATTGTAAAGATAAAGAAACTGAGGCAAACAAGGTTAAATGACTTGCCCAGGGTCACACTGCTAGTAAGTATCTGAGGCTGGATTTGAACTCAGGAAGATGAGTGCTCCAGGCCCAGCATTCTATCTGCTGTGCCACCTCACTGCCCCTTAATGAGGTTATAGGGTTTGTGTAATACATGTCTCGGTCATCCCAAGTGTGGGAGTTTTTAAAGGACACTTCCCAGGGAGATTGGCTTGCACACTGCAGCACTTTGCTGAGAGGACACAGGGAACCCCGCTGATTGGCTCCCAATGACTGTCACTGCCTCCAATATGATTGGCACTTAAGAGTGGGGTAGGTAGTGGAATTAGATTCTTGTCGGAAGAGCTACCTAACTGGTCATAGTTTCTCCACCCCTTCCCCCTTGGACTTCCAAGTGAGAGCTCAGCAGAATAGACCTTTGTAAGGAGGGAAAGAACTTTTCTTCTCCTACTTCCAGGAGCAACTTACAGTAGACATACATGACAATTGTAGACATGCCCTTGCATGAGGCCTGAATGAAGAGTTCAATTGTTGCTGAACTCTTTTTGTATAGAAGGAGAATTCTGAATCTCCTGGGTAGCATTTACTGGTTCCCCACCTCCCCACCTAGCTAGTGTCTGAGATTACAGTTATCACCCCCGTGATTTGGAAAATCCACATAAAATTTTTGGCCTTCCCTTATTACCAGAGAAGAAGTCTGAATTCTTTCTTTTTCTTTTATAGTACCTTATTGTAAAATTTGGGTTAAATATTTGGTCATAGGCTGTGTGCCATTTGCTGGTCTTTTCGTGTCATCTGTGGCTTCTGCAAAACTCCCAAAAAATTCCCATTTAATTTCTTAAGCTGACTTGTGATATATCAAAACCGTGAAGGGGAAAGTTGAGATTTGGAGGGCATAACTGCACTTCATAGATAGCCAACCAGCCAGCCAGATAGATAGATAGACAGATATCTACCCACCCAAAATCTCCCTTCTCTAGAAAGAAAGGCAATGTACAATTATGTAATATGTTATTATTATATTGTATATAATTATATGTCTTCTATATAATTATATATTATAATATATTAATATATATTCTTGTTCAATGTAGTTACCTTCTGGGAGAGAGGATGTTTCAGTACCTGTTAATGGGTATCCCTGAGTCCTTTGTATTTTATTTATTTGGGTGGTTATTGTTGCTATTGGGTGTGTGTTATATATATATATATATGTATATATACATACACGCTATATATATGCATATAAATGTATATAATTTATACATTGTCTACGCCATTAAATTGTGAGCTCCTTGAGGACAGGGACCAGGTTATGCCTTTCTTTGTTTAGCACAGTATCTGGCATATAGTAGCACTTAATAAATGCTTGTTGACTGATGGCCATCATCCTATAATCTAGCCTTCTAGTTAGAGAAGGGCTAGATTTTCTGGGCAGCACAAGCTTTGGGGTTGTCTCACAGATAATCCCACTTCTGAGAGTTCCCAAGTTCATGTGTTTGAGCACCAGTGTACAGGAGAGAGAAGATCTCTTCCGCAATGTGCTTTTTGGACAAGGAAGAGGATCACCCTGCACCTGGAGGTCTGGTGTCATGTTGAGGGCAGGGGAAAAGGGCATCTGGACCTTGCTAACCCTCCCTGCTATTATCTGTAATGGGATGTTCAATCAGGCAGGTCTCATGTGAAGGCAAATTCTTGTTCAGTGTATTTACCTTTGGGGAGGGAGTATATTTCAGTATCTGTTCATGAACTCCTGTGGGTTCTTTGGATCTTATTTATTGGGGCGGGAGTAGGTGGGCAATAAAGGTTGTCACATACCCAATGCCCAAATACATTGAGTATTTGTGCAGGAGCTGGGGATCCTGTGAGCCACATTTAAGGAAACTAAGAAGTGAGCTGTATTTTGAATATTTCCCTAGTGTATAACTTTGGGGTGGGAATAACAAGCCAGAGAGACACTGACTTTCTGAGGGTCAGTCACTAGGGTAGAACCTGGTCTGTGTGAGCCCAGAGTTTTGGGGGGCCCTGGGTCACAACATACAGATACATTATTTAATTTGAGACTCAACAACCCTGTAAAGTTAAATAGTATAGTTAATTATTACTGCTTTTTTACATATACAAACATAGAGACTCAAGAGAAGTGAAATAATTTGCCCAAGGTCACACAGAGAGTATGGAGCACAGGCAAAGTTCAAACACAGACCTTCCTGACTCCAAATCCAGCACTCTGGCCTTTCTGCTATGATGCCATATCAATAAAAGCCAGACCTATGGAAAGGACATGTGTCAGTGAAACTGAGTAGTTCAGAGAAATAAATTCAGGGAACAGAAAAGGCAGAGGAAATTCTGAGAATTGGCAAGATAGGGAAATAGGAAGGAGAAGGACTGCAGAAACCTGTGAAGGAAGATGGGATGTATATTTGCTTATGTCTGTTAAAGGGTGTGTTGGCTACTGTCACACTACACAAATAACATATTGGACATGTTTCAAAGTAAACCTGTTGCTTTTTAAGTTTCTGTTACTCTTAACTTTAGCTTGAGGGATGTAGTTGATGCTAGGTTAAGTAGAGTAGCAATACTGTGGTAGGAAAAGGGTCGCTCATGGAATATTTACTTTAAATTCAACACCTCAAAAGCAGAGAGAAAATTGATTCCAGAGTCTGGCTCCAGAGGGAGTCTCTTAGAGAAGACGTTTACTTTGGAAAGGGAGAACTAGACGTTGTTATTGTTCAGTCATTTCAGACTGTTCGTGACCCCATTTGGGATTTTTCTTGGCGAAGATACTGAAGTGGTTTGCCCTTTCCTTCTCCAGCTCATTTTACAATTGAGGAAATCGAGGCAAACAGGGTTAAGTGATTTGCCCAAGGTCACACAGCTAGGAAGTGTCTGAGGTCAGATGTGAACTCATGAAGATGCATCCGCTCTATCTACTATACCACACAGGAGGTGGTATTTGTTTCAGAGCATTGAAGTTTTTCTGAACCATAGAATCTCGGTTATAAGGAACCTTAGATACCCTGTAGCCCAACCTATACCATTTATCCTTCCATGTCACGATGACTGGCCTAGTCTCTGAGTGAAGACCTTTAACAAAGGGAACCCACTACCTCCAGAGGCGAACCATTCCACTTTTGGAAAGCTTTCATTGTTAGACAGTTTCTGTTACATTCACCCTAAAGCTGCCTCTCTGAAACCTCCATGCCATGGTCCTGGATCTGTCTTTCAAGGCCAAACAAGCAGTAGTCTCTTGCAGTAAGACTACAAGCTTAATGTGAGTCATCAGGGTGATACAGCAGCCAGGAAACTGATGCAATCTTGGGCTGCATTAAGAGAGGTGTAGCTTCCAGAACTAGGGAGGCAGCAGTCCCTCTCTCTTCTGCCCCACACCAGGCCACATCTGGAAGGTCGCGTCCAGTTCTAGAACCCACAGTCTAGAAAGAACATTGCTCAATTAGAGAGCATTCAGAGGAGGGCAGTCAGAATGGTGAAAGGCATTGAGTTCGAGCCAGATGAGGATTAGCTGAAGAAACTAAGAATGTTTAGTCAGAAGAAGAAGAGACTCATGGGGGTCATGATAGCTACCTACAAGTCTTTGAAGGATCGTCATATGGAGTAGGGATTAGACACGTTCTATTTGGAGCCAGAGAACAGTAGGTGGAAACATTGCCTTCTAGCCAGAGTTATTTCCTATGAAGTAAGAGCCTGATTGCTCTTGACTTACTCTTCAGTCAAGACCTAAGATAGATGCATTCCCAGAAATCTCCCTCACCTTCTGGGCTAGATCTTGGAATGATACCGTCTAAGGAAATCCCTTCCTCCTCTACCTAGGAGATGGGGATTCAGAAACGTTGTCCATGAACTCTCCTATTGCCACATGGGCATCATATGTCTACCTTTGCCATGTGCTTCTTCAAGAACTTTTTATACTTTGCCAGTTGCTACCATTTCTTGGGACTGGGGAGGTCCATTCCAAGGTAACTGACTTCTGTTCAGAAAGCTGTGAATAAGTACATGTAACTCCAATGAGCTTGTGCCCAAGGCAGTCACTCCCGTTCTTGGAGGGAGGAGAATACCCATACACACTACACCATTCCTTCCAGGACACAATTCTTCTGCTCTTTGGTCTACACTGAAGACATGAGGGGATTAGAACACAACTGGCTAATTGTGGTAATTTGGTGAAAAAC